CCATGGAACACTTCTCCAGCAACATCCACAAACCCACAAACGGAATAAGCATCAATAAGTGCAGTACCAACAAAGGCATTAGCATCATGACCAAGCTTACATATACAAGCATGAGCGCACCAAGCAAACTCTGACCACTCCATACTCACAAGAACCTTCAATATTGTAGTGAACACAAATGAATTAAGCTCATGACCCTCCCTATGTAACCTAACAAACAGCTCAACTGCCTCAATGTACTTTTTTGACTGGGAAAACCCCTGTGTCAAAGTAACAAAGGAAACCATGTTTCTTTCCGGCATTTCATTGAACAGATTAACAGCATCAGCTAACAACTCATTTTTCACATAGAAATTTAGTAAAATATTGAGTGCAAATAGGTCTAAACACCCACCTCTCTTTAAAATGTGGCAGCTGTTCCAGTGGTGAAATGGTAGTCTTTCACCCAATTCTGGAGCATGCCTGCATATACATGGGAATCGAACTCTGAAGTTAGGAATCGTACTGTGTGCTGGTCTTTGGATAGTTGCGCAGCAAGAGATGAAAATGTTGATTTCAACAAACAGGAAAAATGGCGGGTTCGGGAGGATATCCATGGCATGGCGACTGGAGTTGTAGAATTTGCGATTCACAGCAACGCCTCGTCGACGCTGCTGTGAATCGCAGCAGCGCCTCACAGCACTGCTGCGATTCACAATAGCGTCAAGGCGCTACTGCAAGGGAGAGGAAGGGGGAGGTGTAGGGGGATGGGGAAGGGAGGAGAAGCAGGCAGAGGTGCGGGCGGTCAAGATCTTGTGAAGCGGTGGACGGCGAGACAAACCGAGCAGAATATTTCTTCATAGAACAAAGAGAAAGTAGGAGAGTGCAGTTACAACGAACATGATTGTTGATGTGGCGGTGGTCGACGGCAAGCGGTGGGGAGATTTACAGAGGGAAGGGGAGAGGAGACACCAGAGAGAGGAAGGTGAGGGAATTGAAAGGGATAAATTAGGGTTTGGGAGTTAATATATTACCTGATTTTTGAATTATGAAATTTGGTCCCTGATTTTTGAATTATATTCTTCAAACACCTGAATTATTGTAATTTCCCTTTACCCTTCCTATTATGATCCAACTGAGAGCCCAACTCGTTGGACCACAGCCGACTCAACGCGCCAATTTACCATTTTGCTCTTTCCGCACACCAATTTGAGTCCTCAAATCCTTAAAGTTCGGAATGAAAAGACACATTTGTTGAAGATAGATACAGATCCATATTCAGTTATTCATAAGTACATTCACCCCAAGAATAACAAGGTACTGCGAGATTTCAGGTAGTCTGCAAAGCATCACTCTTCGCAGGTACTATTATAGATCAATCATCAACACTGAACTTTGGGTTCTTTATTTTTCTTTCCATTGATTCTTGAATGCGTAAATTAGTGATTAATTTGTTATTATACCCAGTAATTAGTTGTGTTGGAATATTGGCAATGTCAAGGAGGCCAATAAATCCGTCTCGAAGAATATCAGAGAGTGGGACAGCTCCATTTTCATCTTCCCTTTATTCAAGATCCCGCTCTCCCCCTTATTTATCATTAGGTCTCATCATTCTGGTATGTTTCTCGTTTTTTACACATCTGATTTAAATATTATATTTGTCACACCCTTTAGACGTATGCAGGATTCATTTTTTCCGCCCAAGTGTGACACATGCACACTTTATTTAAGTGGGTGGCTGCGATGCTTGAACCCAGGACTGTTGCCTGAAAAATGGTCTAAAACGCTTAAGATCTAACATGGATATAATATAATATTGCTTCGGCAGATATAATGAGATTTTAATAGACAGAGTGACATTACCTTTTTATTCGAAAATCTTGATGGAGTTTATGTGAAACGTATTCGGCTTAAGAAGAATGAACAAGTTCTAATTATATACTTTATTCGAAACTTTTCAGGGAGCATTCCTACTTTTAGTCTATTTATATGGAGGCCAAGGTTAGTCTTCATTTCTACTTTTGACACATGAATTATATTATTAATTTGTTCAATGGTGAAACTTTGAATAGAATGATTCCTTTAGTAATTTGTTCAATGGTGAAACTTTGAATAGAATGATTCCTTTAGTCTGTATTAACTGTTATTGTTGTACCCTAAAGGATTAGAAGTATAGTTTGCACTAGTTTCAATTGATTAAGGCAGAACAAGTTATATCTAATGCAACTCTCTAGTTGCATTCGAATTCTTCTCTCTCTGGGTTGCTTCCATAATTATCTGCATTTCCAGTAATTCTTCCCCACTTGATGATAATTAATATATAAGCTCTATAACTTTAACAAAGAAACTAAAAAAATAAAATAGCATGACATTAGTTCTGGTCAATGACTTTTCAATCTAAGGTTCAATACAAATCAGAACTATTTAGGAAAGAACTAGAACTATTTCAAATACTACTAAAAATTGACAATATATAGATCTTCATTAATGATTTGGAGAAGTAATAACTTTTATTTATTTGCCGTACTGCTGATGGAAGATTAGTCTACCAGTGTAAAATAAATAATTGAAGATGGCTAAACATTGCCAAAAAGAAACTTAATTTGTAAAATTAAGGTGAATGATTTCATTGGATTAATCAATGAAAAGATGGGCAGGTAAAAACTTATGATATCTCGTATGAATGCCACAGGAACCCAATCAGGAGTATCACAAAAAATATTGAACAATATGTTCATATCCAATTATAAATTAGAATTCATTTCTAGTTTCACATTGAACTAAGCATGTGTGATTAAGGCCTTAAAAGTACTCACCTACTGAGATGAGATTGTACAAGACGAGGAGCAGAAATGCACAGACCATGTTGGGATCTCAATTTGACTAATGCAATAGAACTTCACTTGTAGTTGCTAGATATCGTGAATAATACTTTTTGAAAAGAGTTCAGTCTGGGAAGGGGAGTGGGTGGAAGGGAAGAGGGTGAAGAAGAGAGGGGCTGTGGAAGAGAACACAGAGGCAGTGGTAAGAGTGTGGTGGATGGGGTGGGGTGGGGTAGGGTAGGGACAGGAAGGTTAGGAAAATTTGAATAGAAGAAAAAAAATTCTTCTTAAACGATGGCACACTAGACATTTGATGTCTGAAACAGGCACTGTTTTTCACTTTGACAGTGAAAGGGGCTTTTAGAGAAATCTCCATGTTTCACTAAATTTAATAAATAAAAGATCCTAGACGATTCACTTTGATGCAGAATCATGTCCACCTTTCTGGTTACATATTTGCTTATTAAAATAGTATATTTTTATTCTCAAGCGACAAATTTGATATTTACTTTTGCTCTGACTAGTGTGATATATTTGTTTTATAGGTAGTTATGCCCTAAACAAGGGAGCTGTCAGTCGGGTTGAAGGTAATTATGCTTGATTTCTTTCGATGTATATACTATGTTTTTTATATTGGGTGGCCTTATGACAAGGAGATAATGATAACTTGAATTTAGTTGTTGTGCCAGCACATTCTTTAGATCACTTGGAGTAATTGATTATGACAAGTTTGTTGATTGTGGATCCATATCATAATCTAAAGTAGCTATCATTTGACCAATTCTGATAAGTTTTGGAATCATCACGAAGATATCCGTCATCTTAATTCTTTCATATCCACAAATAATTGGCGCAGGCTAATAGAACTTTATATAACTGAAATTGCCTTCATCGAATATGATTGCTGCTCTTAGTTCTGAGACAGGTTTGTGATCATGCTGGTTGAAATGTTTTTACTTCCTTTTGGCTTCCTGTTATATACTCTCATACTCTCATTAGACATGTTGAAGAGGTTCTTAGACAGCCGATTGCAAATCGGTGTGATTTTGAAAGGGCAGATTTTGGCAGTAGGAAACAGTGCACTCAGTAAATAAGCAGTTTATTGTTTTTGTTTTAATCGTCATAGTCAATTGTTATTTTCCATTGTCTTCCATGAATAGATTTTGTTGGCTTCAGTGATCTTTGGGCTTATGACTTGGTTTACGTTGATTGCACAAAATAGTATAGAATAAATTAGTTGATGAGAGACTAACATCGAACATCGATGTGGCAGTCTGTAGTCATTTTGCAGTATTATTTTGTATTTGAAATTCGTGGGTTGGCTTTTTTATCATGCTAAACTTGAGGTCTGCTATTGCCCTCACTCCCCACCAACGCTAACATCCAGAAAAAAGAAAAAAATGCATTAGAATTGCTGGAGCTCTTCCAAATAGATGATGCAGTGCCTTCTAAGCTTGTGCACAATTTGCTAAAGGAGAATTCTTTAACATTCTGTATCAATTATCTTCTCTTTCCACTCTGTTTAACCAATATTCTGGAAACCTGCCAGTCTGGTTCAACCGGAAAACCAGGAAGCTGACTGAAAACTGGTCTGTATGCATAGAATGAACAGGAGATAGGAAAACCAGTAGAGACTCTTGCTAGCTAGTTTAACCGGAAACCTGGTGAAGCGGACATGGTTTGTGCAGTTCCATGTTTCAAAAGTAGAAACAAAAATCTCAAAAAGAAATTCTTGAACGAGTTCAACGCCAAATATCTCAAATAAACAATTTTATTCATCCTACAAGATGATATTTTCATACTTAATTACGGTAATTAAAATGAAATTGAGGTGATTAAATGTGAAGAAGAGGAAGAATTTGGGGATCACAGACATCTGCGAGTTTTTATCTAGGTTGAGACTGTTGGGTTGTGGGATTTTAGTTGAATTGAAATTTAGAGATGAATGATAGAGTGAGAAAGTTACATGCGCGTATGGATTTTTCATGAGAGAGAAGATGGAAGGTAGAAAAGAAAAGGTACGTACATGGATGAGTTATTTTAGGTAACGTTTTCACTACTATTAAAAGCAATGTGATACAACAATTGAGAGAGTGAAAATTTTCAACGTAGTAATTTTTTAATTGTTATTGAAATAAAAGCATGTTGGGAATTGTTTATAAATGATTTAAATTATAAATAGATAAAAATGAGTGGCGGATAAGTGGATAGTACTTGTAGGTTCCTCAAAATATGTAGATAAAAAATGGCTTCATTGTTTATACATAGTTCATATATATGAGCCAATCATAGGCTAAGTGATGTAAAAAAATTATTTTTCTTAATTTTTTTATACTTTTATTTATATTTAATAATTTAATTTAATCATGTGCTTTTAATTTGCGCTTGGACCTGGTTGAACGTTTTGATCCTCGACCCTCAATATTTTTCCAATTTAATGTCCAGGGCGAGTTGGTCAATTGATATTAGGATTCGACTGAAGTCTCCTGTAAGATAGATGCCTTGGGTTTGCATCTTATGAGACGTAATAGAAATCCGTAAACATGGTATGAAAAAACCCTGCTGAGGCCCGTCTCATTGTGAGGTGCAGCTTCTGTGCCTCG